CAGCAGCTCAGCTTCGTGACTCAGGATTTAGGAACAGACTCCAGGTTGCCTTATAAGGAATAAGCAAACTTCCAATGACAAATGGATCATGTTCTGTGTAGATGAATACTTGAATACCCATACTCCAGAGGAATATATTACCCCTTGCAATTAAATGATATACAAGTTGCCAAAGGATCAAGAGACTTCAGTAATTTCATTTTAGTTTCCTTTTAACAATCTTTTAAGTTATAGTAGACTGAGGGACAATTCAAAACACTGAGAAATGTATGACGGTCACATTCCATATCACATATTTTCTTCTGTTCCACACAGGATTGTAAGGAATCTTGTCCACAGTTCTTAGAATGACTGAGGACGAGTGGATTTCATTTCCTTTTGAACAGTAAGTGGCAATCTTCAATTCAATTTTTCTTCAATTCAATAAGACATAAGACATAATCTTATGTCACCCATTTTTGTCTGTTTTTATCATTGGATTTGATTTTTTTCCTCCAGTGTTATTCAGCATTTATTCCTTTCCAAGTTTTAATTTATTCACTAGTTACTTGATGCTTGAAATCGTGACAAAAGAGTTGTGCACGGTATTTAAAAGATGTTTTTCAGTATTTTGGTCAAATTCTGACGACAACGAAACGAGCCCACAAAGATAAAGAGACAGCATACTTATTTCTTCAGTGTTAACTCACCTGGCTGAGGACATGATAGTGCTGGCTGAAGGTCAGCGCTGTCACAACCTCCTTTACTTATCAGGAATGAGCCAGGGAGGCAGCTGCAAGAGTGAAGTTGGGATGGAGGGAGAGGTGTAGAAATGGTTTGTGCAGCCAGTGAGTATTCATATATAGTAGACTGGAAGTGCAATTTTGGATAACAATAACAATTATAACAATTTTGCATACTTTGTCTTGTTTTTAGGATCTATATCCCTATCATGGCCTGTGTCCTGTTGCTGTTCTGCTGCTCTATACTGTTCAGAGGGTGCTGTAAGAAGGTAGCAGCTCAGACAAGCTCCTCAGAGAATGCGGCAGTTTACGTCATTCCTCTCCAACAAGACGACTCACCCCTCAACACACCCTTCCCTACGTATGACTTCTCCAGCCCTCCACCATATGACGAGGTACCTGCTTTTAAAACTTTGGGGTACATTTCTCTCTGTTAAGAACGCCCTCGATGGTACAGCCTCAAATTCATCAACTGTATCCATTCTTATGATCATATCACCAGACACCGGTGATTTACTAGGTAAACCTCCAACCCTGAAAAACGTCTAAGATTGATGATGAAAATCAGCCAGTCATGATTTGGGAGACAACAGTAACTAAAAGCATGTTTTTGGAGAAGGATAAAGACAGGGACTCAGAAGTCCTCTGCACAGCACTGAATGTTATTCCAGAAGAATCCAGATGATACAGACCCCTTTACAACACCAAAGACAGTCATGACAAACTGCACATGCAGTGGGTGTGGGTCTCGGTCGGTGTGGCTTTTCGGGGGGTGGGGGGTGGTGGTTGGTGGTTCTCAGTGGTAGTGTCTCTCAGTGGGTGTGGTTCTAAAGTTGTAGGGACTCATTTCTAATATTATCAACACCTACAACAACAATAATACAAAGCCATGATCAGAATCTCATCTACTCTTTCTTAACGGGGGGCCTTGCAGCCTATATCTCCTCATTAACCCACGTTTCTGGCGTCTGTCATTTCAGGTTGCTATGAAGCCCTACATGTTTCCTTTCCCTGAAGGTCCTCCGCCACCCTACTCTGAGGACGGACCCCCTCAGTCCCCAGTATTGCAGCTCAGGCGCACATCCAACCTCTGAGAGGCCCCAGGGGCCAAAGCGCTGTGTTTCCACTGGGCCCTGGCCCACCCCAAAGCATGGTGGGTCTGGACTGACTGCACAGAGAAATGCGGCCTCTCTTGTCCACTCTATTATGGAAAATAGCACTGCACCACAACAGGAAGTAAGACATTTCCACACAGCACTGAGGACTGCTTTTCTGCTTTGTTGTCAAACCATTCCAAGTATTAAATACATCCATAAGATCTCTCTCTCACTTAGAATCGCATCAAGTAGCCCGATCACGGCTCCATAAATGCTATGACATATATATGGCTTGGAAAATAATACTTAATGGTGTTCCAGCCATCAGAGGAGCAGGAAGTGATGGAATGCCAGTAGCTGCTGTGCCCGGATCTACCCTGCCATATCACATGACCTCACATTCCTTTGCATTCGTGATATAAGGACTCCAGTACTGCCCAGGCACTTAGTGAGACTGCTTTTGCAAACCCAGTGGAAACATGCTGCTAGTGTCCTGAAGCTCACAAAGAGGAGGCTGCACTTTGCTACAAACAGCTTGTTCTGACAAAAAGGAGGGAATGGAGGCTATATAGATCAGTCCAGTTCTCACCTAAATAACCAGGACCATCGCCACAGTATAGCCACTGCAAGGAACCCAGACTGGACTACAGAGCATGCCTTTCTGATGGGTCTGAGGCACGGACGCACCCTGAAATCAATCTCTGAAGACATTTTCTGTGGTGAAGCTGCAAAACGTGAAGTGACTAATTTATTGTTTTTACAAAGTCCCCCGCAGACTAGCTGCAGAGGTAGAACAAAATGGAGTTGTAAAACCTGCTGCTTTCTCTTAGAATGGAATATTCCAAAAGCAATATTACAAGTACATAAAAGTTGCAATAAAAGTAGTGTCCCAGAGCAATGAAACAAAGACATTGTACATATTGTTTTATATTTTACAGATCTGTCTTATAGTATTACTGCTGAAAGGCAGCCAATCAATAATAAACATGAAAATAAACCTGAATTGTATCTGTTTTTCAACGGTGTAATCTTTTACTGCGGAATGACTTTGGAGATGTCCCAATTTAAATTCCACATCATAAATTAATTTTTTTCAAACAATCAAGCTTCTAGTTTACAATGAACAACACTTTATGCAAGAATTATCTAAGGCTCAGGAGACTAATCTGTTCACCGTCATTCAAAAAATATTTATTTTAGAAGGAGGTGAAGATGTAAACAAATATGATGATTATAAAAACTGTGTAGTTTAAAACTCACCACGGTTTGTGTTCTGGATACCTGGCAACGCAAAGCAAAGTTCTGGTCTGATAGACAGTAATTTCTGCTCTTCTGAAAGCACAGTCTCCAAAAGAAAGACCAAAGTGGTAAATTGGACAAGGGGATGGTCTGTTTATGTGTCTCTTAACCAAAAGTAATGAAGACAGGTGTGGATCCAGGCAGGATTTATTAACAAAGGATATTCTCTTAAGCAAGGGGCATACAACAAATGGGAGATTATATTAAGGTCATCTTGTGGCTGACTGCTGCTTAAAAACTGACTGGATTCCCAGAAGTCACCATTTTATACATTGTGTCAGTAGTTTCTCAGTACCTACAACACCCAAAGCCAATAATAATCAATTTACTGCACATAACTGTCTTCAATTTTTCATTGTAAAAAAGGTCCTTAATCTAATATTAACACAGAGTATTAAGTATCTTTTCTTACTCTAAACACACTACACATCTCCTCTCCATTTATTTTTTCTCTCACTGCTTCCTTTTAAACTTAAATGAAATCCTCGTGCCAGTCTACCTTTCCTGGATAGGTATAATAAAGCTGTCAAAGGTTAACTGCAACTATGAAACTCTGAACTCACACTCCCAGCAATCAGAGATAATGGCTACTCTGACGTGTTTTACAAGAAATTACACTATTAGGATAATGTATTGTTGTTTTCCGGACGCTTTTCCTCATTTTAAACTATTTTGGAGTTCAATGACTAACATCCTGTAGTGATATCGGCTTTGACTTATGATGCACATATTGTCAGCTCTTTATGACAATTTTTAAAAGACATAGGTAGTAATTATTTAATCTTATGATGCATTATATCGGAACCAGGTATTGGAACCAGGTCCCTGACAAATGTTGGCCAGGGTAGTCTTCCTGCCTCTAATGCAGGGATAATGGAATAAGACCCAGAGCAGATTGGCAGAACAGGTCTGCATTGGGCTCAGACATGCTTGTTTGGGCTCTGTGAGAGGAATGGGAAAGACAGCATCTACTGCCTGGTGTCCGCGATGTTCATCTAATACTGCTCTCGATGGTGGGTGGTCACAAAGGCTACTATGCCTGTGACTTTCACAGTAGCCCTCACTTTAATGACAAATATTAAGCAGCATAATGAATGTATCTATGTGTCATGTCTGTTCAACAAAATAATAGTGTACCTCCAACAAGATTGTTAATTTCCTGACCATGATTTTGTGGATGTGTTACAATTCTAAGTTATAGGCTTCTTTTGGTGCTCAGTATCTATGTGACAGCCAATGGGAAGGTTTGAAGGGGGAGAACACCAGTCTCCAGTCTAAATCTGCCAGAACGCTGGGTACCAATAAGGGGTTTTAATTCTTCTTTCACTGAGGAAAAGATACAATTAGTATAAAAACAACAAAATACAAGCACAGCACACCCCAGTTCTTGCTCGGTCCATCTCAGCTGTCACTTTCTAAATAACTAGTACTTTGCAACTTGTGCAAAGCCTTGCTTGTTTCTTTTGACATGAAATGAACTGTAATCTCCACATACAGGTCTGTGGACAAAAGAGCAGTGGAAATCTGGGCCTTTTGTCCCACATGCTGCCCTCACAGAAAGGCTTATAAGCAGCTTCAAGTACATGTATAGAAATAGAATACACTTATTCATTGGGCAAAATCAGGATACCAAGAAGTGCAGATATGTACGGTAACAGAAACGTGAAACATACTGCAAAAAAGAAGAAACCGGTGTGCAGCAACAAAACTCCATCTCGTTTATTTAACCAGGGATGGAAAACAAATTGTATTGACAACATTTACACCGGTGACCTGAGGACTACTCATTTATGCAGGAAAATATTTACTGGAACTATTCTGAATGAAGTACCTCACTTCTCTAAAGGGTGCAACAACAGTGCTCCACCTGTGGGATTTGAAAACAATTCTTTGGTCCTGAGATCATAGACCACTCAAGGTCAAGGAAAGCAAAGGCAGGGGCTGTCTGTATTTGTGTGAGCAACAGCAGCTTCCAGACAAACTGTTTTGTGGGCCCTTTTGCATTCACTTTGTGAAACACAGACCAGGACTGTCAGGGCAGAAAAGGAGTTCCCTCTAGTGCTCTGATGCTCATCATGACTGCTTACAACTCAGCAGTGGAAAACTGAGTCTGCCCGGCACAGATTAATTTCAAGCTGAGAAGGAGGTTCAAAAGCTCTGATGGACTGAGAAGTCCAGTCTTTCACATGAGGTACTTCTGTGTGAAGGCTGTGGTCACGCAGGATGGCTATGCTCGAGCACACTGCAAGAAGGAGAGAGGAGAGAGGAGAGATCGACAGGGAGGAAGGGTGCTGCCATCTCAGTCTCTATGGCCTGTGGCCCCCAGCTCAGGCCTGCTTCCTGGCTTTCTCCCACTTCAGGCGCTTCTTCAGCGCAAGGAGGTCGATGTAGACGATGTGATCCAGGACTGCCGAGGCGCACAGGAGACCCCCGTGTAGCGCCCCCGCCAGGCCGTTACAGAACACGTCCTGGCCTGCAAACACACAGCACAGACACAGGGCTTCAGAGCCAGCCAGCGCCCTCCAGAAAGATACAGTGCTTCAAAATACACACGCCATCCTTTCAAACTGGAAACTCTGAGCACCAGATGACAAAACCTGACCCGTGACACAGTTTTAGATCAGCCAGACCCCAGCACATAGGCTACTGAGGTTTAACCAAGTGACCTTTAAGAGATGATGGACGCAGTAAGTTAGGTAGCCAATGAAAAGCAAGATCATATAACCACAGAAACAAGAAAATAACAGCTATTCAGACACATATACAGGCATCTCTGCGATAACACGATGGATGCGTTGCTGTAAAACCTCTCGTTATGCAAAATCGCAAAATAAAAATAACAGGGCTTATGGGAAAAATAGGGTTAGGGGCAGACCACTCAAAACCTAACCACATGCCTAACCAAAGCTTTACCAAATGTAATAATTATCCTTATAAAAAATATCAGCACAGTTTAAATACATGTTAAATTTCATAACTAAGAAATACAGTAAATTTAGTTCACCACCTGAAATTTTATTACCAGCCCGCTTCTTAGACACATCCCTGTCACCTTGTCCACTCATATTTACGGCAATGCAGAAGATTTAGTGAAAATAGCAGGAAAATTGAGGAGCGCCTCCCAATTAGCACTTCCAAAACAAAGCACATGGGACAACCAAACATCATGTTTATCCCTCCGCGGATCCCCGCCTTCAGTTGTGTTACTCCGCGACGCAAAACGTAAACATGTCGGGAATGAGCCAATGTGAGTTTCTCGTTATACAGACATCTTTTCCCTATTTACCAATCGCATGTGAGCCAATTCGCGTTTTGGAAACTTGGGTAATAGCAGAGATCACTGTATTCAGACACAATATTCAGCCACACTACAGGAATCCACAGTAAGACCAACGTTTCTTGCTGTTGCAGATATGGTGCAGAGCAGGGCTGATGACAGCGAGGCCACAGGCACCACAGGTGCCGTCTGATAGGAAGAGGTTCTCGAAAGCATGAAAAGGTGATCAAGTGTGGCTGGAGCAGCCTTGTGCTCATGCCGGCAGATGGTTGTAAATCGGAGGGGAATGTTGCCCCTGTGCCCAGCTTTGGAATGGAGTTATTGCAGTCTGAGTACAGATCACCTTCCTGCACCGCTGTCAAATGGTAACATTCCACCATCTCCCCCCCCCCGCCAAAAAAAACATTTCCAATGAATAAAATAAAGCCCCCCCCCCTCCTCCCCCACACATGCAAGCGCTTCACAGCTACCGAGTCACAGATCTGATTTGATGACCCCGTCAACAGCCATCTACTGCTGCAGGGAGCATCTGTGACAAGCTGTGACCTCACTGGACAAAATCTGACTTGCAGCAGTGATCAAAATAAAGGAAGAACAAAGGACCTCCAGGTGGACACCCGTCCCAGAGGGGGGGCCACCCTGCTGCCTACGTACCAGTGAGGTAGAGCTTCTTCACCGGCGTCGCCGCCCGGGTCTGCGCCACCACCTCTGGGGTGAACCTGGCCAGATCGTGCTCGGCGCCGTACATCTCCCCACGCGGGGAACCCAGGTAGTGCATGTTGGAGAGGGGGGTGGCTGCCTCCATGAACACCACCTGCACAGGCACAGGCAGGGGGCTGAGAGTGGGAGATCCCCTATCGCATCAGACATCCTTACCCAGACTGTTGCTCTCACACTGACATTCCACTCCATCCCGCAGTACAGGCGTTCTAACACTCCAGATTCACTGCTGCCTTCTCCTGTTCCCTGCCTTTCTGGAGCCCTGCAGATGTGCTGATCTCGCAGTCATGAAGCTCCATAATAGCCATGTCGGTCCCCTGGCCTTTCGTACTTCATTATCAGCCTTGTCCCCCCCCCCCCGACGCAAGCCCCTCTTGCTGTACCTTGTCCCTGAGCTGAGGGAAAATTTCGAGGGCCCAGCCCAGGAGTGCATTGGCGATGCCCATCTTGAGGCTCCCGTAGTCTGGTCCCCTCTTCTTCAGGGTGCTGTCTTTCCACTCCTCGAACCACTCGTACTTCGCCATGGTCAGCAGGGTCATGCAGGACTTCCCTTGGGAACAGCGGCATTGCACACAGGTCAGCCAGCAGCACAGCTGCTCACACTGCAGCAAAGCAGGGTCTTCCAGCCAGAGAACTGGCATGGAGTAGGACATTCAGCCGCTCAGAAAGTACAATGCAGGAGATTCAACTAACACACGGCCCCCGATCTACTCTTTGTTAAAAAATGTTTGCAATGCATTAAAGGTGCCCATTTCCTGAGGTCCTGCTGACTACACACCTCATTTTACACCAGCATATGCCAATGAGAGAGAGTTACGGGTGCACAGTGGTACCTGGGTGTCTGATCTTGGCCGTCGGGTCTTTAGCCGAGGGAAAAGTGATGAACATCATGGGGATGTTGTCAGCCACCTCCTCCCTGCTCAGAGAGGCATAGCGACCCATCCTGGAAACACATGCACATCAGAGCTCAGATTAAAAAAAACACATAAATACATAAATGTGAAAGTCCACCAAGAAAATTGACACTGGAATTATTATTCGACATCAATAGCAATCCTGGCTCATTCATGCCATCTGCTGGTGATGACCTACAGCTACACCTCTTTGCTGTAAGGTGTGCAGTCAGTATTTATAATAATAATAATAATAATTGCTTACACTTATATAGCCCTTTTCTGGACACTCCACTCAAAGAGCTTTACAGGTAATGGGGATCCCCTCCACCACCACCAGTGTGCAGCCCCACCTGGATGATGCGACAGTACACTCACCACACATCAGCTATCAGTGGGGAGGAGAACAGAGTGATGGGGATTATTAGGAAGCCATGACTGGTAAGGGCCAATGAGAAATTTGGCCTGGACGCTGGGGTTACACCCCTACTCTTTTCGAGAAACGCACCGGGATTTTTAATGACCACAGAGAGTCAGGACCTCAGTTTTATGTCTCATCTGAATTATGGCGCCTGTTTACAGTATAGTGTCCCTGTCGCTATACTGGGGCATTAGGACCCACATGGACCACAGGGTGAGCGCCCCCTGCTGGCCCCAAGCAAATAGGTGTGTGTGTTGGTGAGCAAATGCCTTATACATGCATGCACACATAGGACATACAGTTCATCCAGGTCATTGTGTTTGTACATCCAGAAGTTGGTGGATACTATCCCTAGGTCTTCTTTCGTCCCATCTAACCCCACAAAGACCAGGAAGGAACCCATTCCGTGCTGAACCATGCTGAGACGGGACTGTATTTCTGAAAAAACAGAGCATCAAGGAATCGGTTGGGATCAAGAGTTTCTTATCGCATCAGACATTTGTAACTGGTGTAGTTGCAGTTAACCATTTTCAGGTTGTCAGCCTTGGCCAGGACGCCCCTGAAGTTGCACTTACCGGGTTTAGCCTGTATCTCCGGGGGCAGGAGCTTCTCGAAGGTGTTAAACATCCCAGCATCAGAGATGACCACTGGTGCCAGGACGGTGACCTCTTCCTGACCTTTCTTCACAGTCACTCCTGACCAAGGGAAGGCACAAGGTGAGAGGTCATCATGCGGGTTTCCAAGGCAAAACTCATCTGCTATGATGCTGAAAAGATGCTGTGGTTATTTATGTGTTTAGAAGCTCACAGACGGTAGGAGGTGAGAGATTTCACTTCCTTCTTGAGAACCAAAAAGGGATGATGCTCCTTAAAAACCATCAGAAGTAGAAGATGGTGTGACTTCTACAATTCTGTGTTCCTTGCCGAGCCAAGAAGTGATCGAACATGTCCTAGTGACATATAACTGAATTTATCCAAAGTGGCGGGAGATACAATGCTATAGAAAATGCTGTACTTTGGATAAGACATTAAACCAAGGTCCTGACTACATGTTCATTAAAGATCCCATGGCTGTTCGATGATGGTACAGTACGTGTGCCTCATCTCACTGGCTGATGAAGTGTGTCCCCTCTATAGAATTGGAAGGAATTAATGTTTACCTTCTCTCTGAATAACACAAGGTAAACTTCACTTTAATTAGACTGTTTTGAACACACACTGGGTCTTAGACCTGCCACAGATGCCTTATACACAACGTGGTTTTGGAGAAAGGAAAGAACTGCGTGTTCCTTTTTTGTACCTCTCTGCCCATACCTGAGTACCAGCAGCATGCAGAGCTTTGGCCTGTGAATGCCGATTTCTGCAACTCACCGCACGCACTGCCTTTCTGGTCTACCAGAATGCGCTGGACAGGGGCTCTGACCAGCACAGCGCCCCCTGCCTTCTGGATGACTGGGATGATGTGGAAGGCGATCTCGCTGGCCCCTCCTCTGGGGTAGTAAGCTCCTCGCTTGTAGTGGTGAAGCAGCAGAGTGTTCATCAGGAAACTGGAGTCTTTAGGAGGCACACCTGCAAGAACAGGGCAGAACACGATCAGTTCTGCAATAACACAGCACATGTTCCACAGGTCTGTGGTTAAAAACTGGAGGAGTGTAGTGAGTGGCTTTTATTAGGGAAGCCTACATGAAGATGTCAATAGCTCAGTTAAAATACATACAAAAATGTGATTTCTTTATCCTAGTGAGACCTCAGCTCATTCAGGTAATGCATT